GATAATAGAAACCTGAAAAGAAAATAACAAATTTATTAAGATGATGTGAAAGTGACATCAAAGAGGTCTTGTTTATGAAACCTCTCCGAACTCAATGTACCGAATCGTTTCAAACATTGCAACGTGAATATGAATACTTCAAGGAAGGCTCTAGCATCCATGAAATTTCAACTTTTTTTTTCAATTATAAGAAGTGAAATTTCACGGGTGTCACCATCTTCCTTGTAGACTCCATATCCACGTTGTAAAGCTTGAAACGATTCGATTCGCCCAGTTCGGAAAAAAGTTTCATGAACCATTGACCCCTAAGATGCCACTATCTCATCCCCTTAATAAAAAGTATGAAACGTCTTATTTTCCCCCAGTTCGCGTATCGAAGTCTTTCGAGCTTTTGGTTCGCAAGATAATGCATGAGAAGCATAAACGAGCGACTCGATGGAAGCAACACACGATGGAAGGAGTCCCCTCAACTCGGAGACACTATGTAAATTTGTCTTGTCGTCGGCAATTTGGGGAAGAAAAGGGGAGTTGAGTTGGGTAAAAATTTCGGAGAGACAAGGGTGGCTTTTACGAAAGGAAATATAATTGAGGCAGGACGAACTCGACGTCCTCGGTTGACCCTAGAATTCTGGGCTTCAGAACCCCTCGGGGAGCGAATCGCTCGTCACCATTTTTCAGGATTAAGGGTCTTTAGGGAAAAATGTTGACACATGAGTAAACTTTCGATAAAGAGGTAAGATCCCGTAAGAATGAAAATGTATGTCGCGCGACAAGTCGTTCCGACGTCGTCCGATGAATCCGAGGACGATTCCGGGCCGGACCTCCGTATCTTTTTCCCCGGAGCACCTGGGCGGAGGATTCTTGTTCGACCTCGTCGTAATGCCTCCCATCACGTGGAATCCCACCTGAAGAATCGTTGGGTTTCCGCCCGGGTGGAAATAAAGCTCCTCGAGCGGAATTTCAATGGGAATCGAGGCGTTCGCGGATCGACTCTAAACGCGAATTGAGACGTCGCGCCGTGTCGGGCCGCTCCTTCGGGAGTTCTCCTTCGAAGAGGGAGTCCCTCGAGAAAAGGGTCCACCGATGGCATGTAAATTGCCCAAGAACATCCGTGGTATCTCGAGGTACCCATTTGGAAGTATCGAGCCCGCGTACGAGTTACGGGGATCGACTTCTCCCTCGTGGACCGAGTCGCGAGGGTACTTCGTACGGAAGAACACCCTCGATTTCTCCCCGCTCGATTTCTCCCACGATTAATGGCGGCTAGCAGAACTTCGGGATACCAAAACCCTTCCCATTCCCCAGAAATTTCCCTGTTTGGAATCTCTGCAGAAATGCAGCAGCGATCGCGTCTTGGAACCTTCGCAGAACGAAGAGTTGGGACCCTTCCTCTGCGACGCACGAAACTGGCATATCTCGACAGAGATCGAGGGTGCAAACGTGTCAAGGTCTTCGGAATCCTTGTCAACGTTGACAGGGGATGTAATTGATCGACAGGACTCCAAATGGCCGGCAAGAGGAAACACGGTAATCAGCTTCCACGAGGGAGTCTACTACGACGCCTCGGAAATCGATGATGCTTCCACCCTCGGGAGATGACTCCTCGCGTGTCCAGGAATTTTGTAAACCTGGCCCATGGCATTCTTCTATCACCAGGAAATATGGAAACGTAAAGTGTAGCCGAAGCCAATTCATGGGTCGATATTTCCCCGCGAAATCGCCATCGTGCCAGATATTAATACCGAAGCTCTCCCACGTCCAGTCACAACGTTATTATCTGAATTTCTCCGCGCCCGAAGAGGAAGGGAAACCTGCCATCGCGGTATTCAAATTTCCTGAAATTTCGAGCACAAATTGCGGTGCATTCCTTCCGCCCCCGTGGAATGCAAAACAGAAAGCTTTACAAATGTAAAACCACGGGCTTCGGCGAAACGCACAACGCTGAATAATCCGCGGAAGCTGCGTGAGCGACATCTGGGTCGAACGTGAAACAATTGCGGAAATCTCCCACGCGTTGGTCGAGATTTGTTGACAAGACTTGTCGCGCAATCTTGCTCTACTCTCGAAGAGAAAAATTCATTCCCGTTCGGCAGCGGTTCGAAGCTTGAAGAATCGTGTCGAAGGGTCGTTCGACTTTGGAGAAGAACTCGCGATCTCGCTCGAAGGACGATCTCGCCCTGACGTGAATTACGTCCTCGAAGACGACATTGGCTTCATGGAGGCGAGCCAAACAGGATCTTATCACGTTATCGGGACGAGACGAATCGAACGAAACGTCTCTACGACTCGCTGACGTACCATTTTCGGGATCCACTCGTCACGATACAAGCCTTCCCATCATTCTATCATTCAACTAGACGAGTCGACTAGCCGAATTTATAATTTACGGCGTGCTTTCCATCTGGCGTTCCTCTAATCGACATGCCTGATTGGCTATTTTTCAATTAATTACAGGCACACTATATTCTGTAGAAAAAAATTCTGCAGGACCTTTCGACTCTATTTTAACAAGGAAAGTGATGGATAAACCGTAGACACGAATTTGTATACACCCTGTGTATTATACGGCAACTGGTTCTTAAAAGAGTCGGGATTAATCGCACCTCGAAATCTTTCTTGCCGTCTGATCAGAGCCCAATAATGTCTGGATTTTATCCCCGGGTCTCTGGATGCACTAAGGGCTCCTTCGCGCGTGGGAAGTCTCCATTTTGCGATGAGAAATAGCAGCCGGTTTGTGAGCAAAATGAGCGTCGGTATATATCTGAAAAGGATCGGGTATCAAGATCGGGTTTCGTCTCTTACAGATCCTCGACGGATACCGAAGGATCTCCTTCGAGTCCTGGCAGCGCCGCCCGTCTTCATAAATATCAATGAAGTAACGACGAGCTGGTAAATAAGATTCGGGCTCTCCTGATGGGGTTAGAACTCCCATGCTGCGATTTGCGATTACGAGTAGAGTAAAAAAGAGAGAGTCGGAAAATGGAAAACCGATACGCGTCCTTGAAGAAGTCTCCAGCAAAGGAGCTAAGAAAAGGGTAGGCGGGCTTTTTAACGTCAATTTCTATACAAAGGGCAGCCAGTGTCCTCGTCAGACAACGTCTGATCAGGTTCGATCACGATTACGTATCGCTCCCTGTATCGCCGATAAGAAGCTCAACATAAGTCTACCAACGAGCGGGCGTTGGCTTCAAAAATCGTCGTTTTCTATGTTCCGATATTCCGCAAGGATATATCTTCGTCGTGTAATTAATTCCAAAATATTCATACCATTTTCTAGAAATTTCCGCAATCGATCGAGCGTTTGTTGAACCGCTTCACCCCGAGTCCTTACTTCTCAAGGATTATTTGTTGAAATAATTCCCCGCGTCGAGAGGTGCGGTTGAGTTTCGCGCCAAGCGTGTTTTCCGGCACGAGGTCGGGGTAGGTCTTAATATTTAGACACCACAACGTGGGATGTTTTTCTCGACGGATGGTAACCAACGAGCCGGTTTCGAAAAAACGGATAAATCGCGAGAAGCCGAAGCACGGTCCGTGGGCTTTATCTATAAATAAAAATAAGACGCAGTCGCGCCCATGGAAGACACGGGTCGCCTTTTCTTAGCTTCTGCCTGGCGTAATAATAAGAGAACCTCTTGCGGGTATAAGAAAAGCGTGCATCTCGATAAATTGGATCATTCAGTCACCATCCATCATTTAGGGGCGAGGGTTCCTCGAAGCTTTTCGGCCAGGGAAACGTAGGCTTACGATAATGGCTCCAAGTAAGATCCTCGAAGCGAAGGTGTCCTCCCGTTCTTCGTTTCCTCGGATTCGACTTTTGCGTATTTTGCAATCTTAGGTAAGGCCGAAAATTCTGGGTCTAATTTTCCGGGACTACACCCCTGCGAGGAGCGCTCGTAAAATGAGCGATCCTTCAAAAACAACCGCCGACAGGATATCGAAGGACACCCTTGGCGATGAATGCAACGATCCGCGGCATCGGGCAAGGACGACTAAACTCGCCGGATCCTTGGACCTCCCGGAGCCATTTCGTCCTCGCTCGCTACATTTCTGGGACACCTTTTACAGATCCACGTGGCGGGTCCGCGTGCAAATTGCCCCTTTATTCAAAACGGACATCTCGTCGTCCTTACGTGTCTCGAGGCCCCGGCAGCTATTCTGTCTCTCCTCGAGTCCACTTTTCCTCCGCGACTTAGATCCTCCGTGTCGTCCTGGCGACCAAACACTCCTAGCTAGGAAAAATCCGAGACGCGCACCCTGCCAATTTCGATCCTTCCAAGACGCTTCCTCTCGGATGTCCAATTATCTTCCTTGACTTCGAGATCCAGGAATCGCTTTCTCATGTCCTTTCGAGAAAATTGAAGGACACCGACCGTCACCCCCGGATCAAAATACCTTCCGATATCTTTCAGCTTGAATAGCTAATGTTACGATTTTTCTCCGACTCTTGAGTCTGCCGATTTCATGATCGATTAATTAATATATTTTATCGAAGGATACTTGCTGAACGTTTCAGTCACCCTTTACCCTTGATCGTTCGTCGATACGTCAGAGCTCTGCAGACTTAAACTCGCGACTAAAATAGAAATAGCCATGAAAATTCTGTAAATGCAGATACTGACAAAGTGGGTACAAAGGTCTATGAAAAAGTAAGATTTTACTACATTATCCGTCGCCGCGTTACCACGCGGTGTCTGTTTTTATCGGCATCCTTCTTCAGGCTCTACGGCTTGTACGTCGCGCAGGTCTGATCAATACTTTACCTCCTCTCCTGCGACGACATCCGCGAGCCAGTATTCGGCAAACGGCTCTGCCGAATAAAGTGTCCATTGGCCTAGAGTTCCGTTACAGGCCTCCATCTCCGTATTTTAGTATAGCGAATAGTCCTCTTGTACACTATAAAAAATGGAGTGGCCATCTTCGTGCTTTGCATCTTCGAGGATATTCGCCACGTGTGGTGATCCTGGCGAGAGGTCGTGAGTGGCTGAAGAGATCGAACGAATCCACGACCTAATAAAAGGAAATCATGAGAGCCTACTTGACAATTAACTCTTTTCCTCGTTGATAGTGGTGCATCCGTTTCCAGTTGCCAGAAATCGAAGGAAAGATTCTTCTCAAATAAATAGGAGGGTTTCAGCGCAGGCCTTACGTAAGAGGAGTCAATATGAAGAGACAGAACGTAAGGACTTTGTCGCTGGTGGTGTGCACCTTTACTTACTTATTAATCGGAGCGGCGGTTTTCGACGCCCTCGAATCTGATACCGAAAGGAAGCGATGGGAGTTCCTATCAGGTGAGGTCGAGTTTTAGGTGAATCCGTGGGTGCAGTTTGAAGAGTGAGCGCATTGACGAAGGTCCAGGGTCAATTTTGTTTCATAACCCAAGTTGAAATTTCGATTCTGTATAGCCTCTAACTGTAGACTTTAAATAAGTTTGGAGATGATAGAAAGTACGGGTTAATTCGTTTTAAGTACGAGCTCCTAATTTGAAAGAGGGACTTAAAGAGTGAAATAAGACCAAAAGAGGTTTTACTTACGTTATTTTGAATCAAAGTAGGGATAGAATTTCGAATTCGAGTTGTCCTCTGAAAAGAGCTCTTCAATGAGGGACCCCTTTCAGAGGTCCGCCGTAACATGATGAGGAAGTATAACATCACTCCTGAGGACTACAGGATGGTCGAGATCGTCATAATTGAGAACAAACCCCACAAAGCCGGGCCACAATGGAAATTCGCCGGGGCCTTTTATTTCGCCACCGTGGTCCTTGCGATGATCGGTGAGTGCAGAATTCGCTGGACCTCTTCTTGTTTGTTTTTGAGGCCTCGATGTTCCAATTTGGAATTTCATTGGAATTTCAGGTTACGGCCACTCCACGCCGGTCACGATCGGTGGAAAGGCCTTCTGCATGGCCTACGCCATGGTCGGGATCCCTCTGGGTTTGGTCATGTTCCAGAGCATCGGTGAGCGTCTCAACAAGTTCGCTTCCGTGGTGATCAGACGCGCCAAAAAGTACATGAAGTGCCAGAGAACGGAAGCGACGGAGATGAACCTGATGCTGGCGACGGGGATGCTGTCGAGCATCATCATCACCACCGGCGCCGCCGTGTTCTCTCGTTACGAGGGTTGGAGCTATTTCGACAGTTTCTACTACTGTTTCGTCACGTTGACCACTATCGGCTTCGGCGACTACGTTGCTCTTCAGGTTCGCGTCGACCTTTCTCTCAATGTTGCATAAATGCTCCCCCGCGCGATCCTATGGCCTCGGGCCCTGACTTCGAGAATACATTTCGTATTCCTTCTTCTAGAACGACCAAGCCCTGTCGAACAAGCCAGGCTACGTGGCCCTGAGTCTGGTGTTCATCCTCTTCGGGCTCGCGGTGGTGGCAGCCAGCATCAACCTGCTGGTCCTGCGCTTCATGACCATGTGAGACCTCTCTCGATACTCTCTTCTCTCTCTTTTTCTCTTTTCAATGTCCTCGTTTTGCCTTTCAGGAACGCCGAAGACGTACGTCGCGAGGACAACGAGCTGCAGTCTGCGTCTCACCACGTGCTGACCCTGGACGGGGAGGTGGTGACCGTCAATGGGAAACTTCTCGCGGGCCATGTGCCCATGGTCCATGACATGGATGACTGCGTGAGCGTGTGCTCTTGCACATGCCTGGGAGCGGCCAACTCGGAATTGTTGGATTCTTCAGGATACCAGGGTTACAGACCACCGTCGATCACCGCCAGCCTCCGAGTGAAGCGCGCATCCGTCTGATGGAGGGAGTTCCGTCGCCGCAGCCTGCGTCGCCGACTTGCCAGGGTCGACAGCAGGGAAGTCCTCGGCATGGACGCGTGAGGCCGAGGTCTCCGAATCGATCTCGACCTCGGAATTTGAAGGCCTCCGGGTCAAGGATATAGCTTGGACCCGGGGTAGCGGATCGCGACGCCTAATTCAACGTTCCTAATTCTGCGACGGGAGGATCGGATCTAGAGGAGAAGGGAAGGAGGAGGAACGATGAACGCGAGATGATGTCGTTAAAGGACGATGCGCGATGCAGGTATAGAGTTCGATTACTGGAACGCGGCCTCGATCTGGCCTCGATCTGACTTCAATCGGATTTCGATCGCGAGCTCTTGGCCGGACCTCGCAGCGCCAAAGACTGATCGAAGCGCAAGAAGTCGGAAAATGTTCGATTATACTAGTCGATCGTTACGGAATCGACGAATGTCCGGGTGATCGAGGACGTAAGAACGTCCCGAAGGTGGTAGTCATGGTGACAATTTTAGAAAGCCCCATGGAGTAACCCGCGCCGTATACAGTGCACTTATCCATTATAGTCTTATTCACGTCAGCAGGATGTAAGTACGCGCGACGACCTAAGCTTATCGACGGAGATGCCTATATTTTTTAAGAGCAGGCATATTCCTTTTTTCTAATAAACGCCATGTATACATCCTCTTTCTTTGGTCAGTTTGTTCGGTGAGTGTTCCTTCTGTCGGGAAGATAACTTCCGGTGGACTACAGAGATGCGTTGGGAGATTGCTCACGGGCAGGATCGTGCGATCGCATCCTGTACTGCCCTCTGGTTTCGTACATTAGCTTTCACCGTTTTTTGCCCCCAAGGGCGGCGCAACGAATTTCTGATAGGAGCTCGCGCACTCGCGATGGCGGTACCATCTACCAGTCGCCGTTGGAGGCTCACGTACT